TGACTCGCCTTTGAGCACCGAGTTGGGTCCTACAGACCACGATGGTGGCAGCTCCCCCTCGTGAGACCAGAGCCTCTTGGGGCGGAGACAGGCTGGGAGGAAGCAGGCAGCCAGAGCGAGATCTAGCTGCGGGAGGGATTCTGGGGAGAGGCTGAGAGGAGGCCGCCATCAGACCCCGGCTCTGCGGGAAGCTGAGCGCTGCCCCAGGGTGACTCCGACGGGCAGGACGCTTTCCGATGGCCAGCAGGAGCCCTGGCTGCTTCCTCGAGGTACCGGGGTGCAGACGGGTCCTGGCTGATGGCAGAGAAACTGACTTTGCAGCATTGGGCTCTTGGCCGCTGGAAGGCTGCAGCGAACTCCCAGGAGAGTGATCAGAGACCCGTGATGAGAAAAGGGACTCGTGTTGTCGCATGAAGATGACCTGACGGCCAGCCAGACCTGAGGTCACCTCACGCAGGCACTGACGGCCGAGAAGGGAAGCGGTGGCCATGGGCACCTGCAGGCTGGGCTCCCCCTCTCCACCGTCTCTGCCTGGGCCTGTGACAGTCAGAGCCCGGGTCCACCATGACTGCCCTTTCCTGGGGCCCTAAGACCTCCATGGCTGAGCCTGGAGTGATCAGGAGGGATAAGGCCTGGAGCCCGGGACAGGCAGCTGGGCGGGGCGTCAGGAAGGAGGCACAGCCAAGGCGAACTTCCTGGGACGGCTGCCCCTGGGTGGACTCTGAACAGCCCGCCCCCTCTAGGGCCTCGGATTGGGTCAGGGGAGGAACTCTCTCCTGTCTGCACTTGGGGACCCACGTGCTTCTCTCATTCCAGGTCTCCAAGAAGTACAGCGAGATCGAGGAGTTCTACCAGAAGCTGAGCGGCCGTTACCCAGCAGCCAGCCTGCCCCCGCTCCCCAGGAAGGTCCTCTTTGTCGGGGAGTCCGACATCCGGGAAAGGAGAGCCGTGTTCCACGAGATCCTGCGCTGTGTCTCCCAGGACGCGGAGCTGGCCGCCAGCCCAGAGCTGCTGGAATTCTTAGGTACCGAGGTTCTGTCCCAGGTCCCTGCGGGCTCCCCTGGCCCAGAGCGAGGCCTGGACGGGCCTGGGCTGCAGTGGTCCAGGAGCCCCTGCCTGCGCCGGGTTTCCCCAGCTCCCCTGTACCCGTCCACTCCAGGCTTCGCCAGGGCTGCCAACCCTTGGAGGCTTGGCTGCCCCCATCCACCCTCGGGTCCTGCCACTAGGGTGTGGGGAGGCACTGGTCCCCTGCAGTCGGGGTCAGACGCCTTTTTCTGCTCCCCCACAGGCACCAGCTCCCCGGGGGCGTCAGACCCCAGCAGCAGAGGTGTCTCTGTCCTGGACACAGGCGGCCAGGCCGGGGATGATGGGGAGGCTTTCGACTTCTTCCAGCAGCAGGAAGGCACGGAGCGGCCGCCCACCCCCTGCCAGGAAGAGGACGCAGGGAAGTCCTCCGAGGAGGAGGAGGCACTGGACCCTCTGGGCATCATGCGGTAGGTCTCTCGATCTGGGGAGCGCCCCCTTCTGGCTGGTTCCAGGCTCTCTGGGGAGGCTTCTTCCCTGCATCTCCCTGGGCCATCACCCTGGATGGCCTGGTGCGCTGGTGGAATGGGCTGGCTGCTCACCCTCACATCACCAGTGTCTTTGGGGGCTGGGCTCAGGTATCACCTGCCCCTCCCTGGTCACAGGTGGTCCCCACCGCTGCTCCCTGGCTCTGCACGGAGGCCTGGCAGAGCTGCCCCCAACCCCCCAGCAGCTCTGAAGCCCAGAGGCCTGGCTTCTCTGTCCAGCTCATCCCTGGCAGCCGGTGACTTGGACAGGTGACTGGAGCGCCCTGGGCTGTCACGGCTGTAGCAGGGCTGTTTCCCTTGGCCCCGCCTCCCCACAGGGCAGGTGTAAAGCTCCCGTGAATCACATGTGTGGAGGGAATTGGTGATCCATAAGGTGCCAACGGTGTGTGATTCAAGGGGGTACAGTGAGCCAGGGGCCCTGGCCAGTGGAGCGTGTCCCCTTTATACGTATGTGCACACACATGTACAGACAAGCAAGCGTGTACAGGTGTGCGCGCGCGCACACACACACACACACACACACACACACACACACACACACTGGCTGAGAGCAGCAGTGAGAGTGACTGGAGAAATTTGCCATCACATTCCTATCAGCAGTACATGACCCGCATGCCCTCTGGGGCTTTAGTTCAGTAAAACGGGACCAGGGCTTTGCTTGAACTCGTGCTCTCCGCTGCTCTGAGTGCCACACACAGTGCCAGGCTGAGATAGACTCGGTGGTTTGTGCCAGCCTTTGGCAGGAGGACATGTAGGAACACGCTCTTTGGGGTTGGCTTGGCCTCCTGGCTTTCCTCTTTGCATCAGTAGCAGGTTGTCGGGCCATGCGTCCGCCGTCCCGGGACCATGTGTCCCCCAGCCCCATCCCTAGCTCCGCACTCGGGGCCTCGCTTCTGAATCCTAGGAGAGCTCAGCACCAAAAGGGGTCCCCGAGGCCTCAGACCGTCTGCTGGCCTTTTGTCTACTGTGACAACAGACAGTGCTGACACCTCAGGAATGACAACAGCTAACGTTTTGTGAGAGATGATGAAATGCTGGGAACTGATCAGAATTGACGGGAATAAGTGTTTCCTATCCTATTTCTTTTCTTATTTTTCTAAGATGCACCAATAGCTGTCAGGTCCTCGGTGGGTCTGGTTGGGGGATGGAGGCCGCGACCAGTGCGGCCTCAGTTTGTGCCTGGGGAAGCTGAAGCTGGGCGTCCGGGTTCAGCCACAAGCAGCCGAGTAGGGACTCCGGGCCACCTCCCTGCACTGCCCCTCGACTCCACTCTCTCCGTGGGCCCAGAGCTGGGCCGGGCCCTAGCATCTTCCCCTTTGCACAGAGGGGGAAATTGAGGACAGAGCTGAGTGGGGACTTGCCCAGAGTCTTTCGTGTGGCGGTAGCACCTTGAAGTCGATGTCCCCTGGCCTCTCCCGGGACGCCGAGGTGGCCTGCTGGCTTGCTTGCACAGTGCAGCCACCCTGTCCTTTGGCGGGGCACGTTGTGTTCTTTGCAGGTGACTTACGCTTTCCATGAGTATTTCTCCATCCTGTGCCCTCGGTTCCTCTGCAGCTGCAGCCCCGCCTTCCCAGCTGTG